GTGTGTGTGTGTGTGTGTGTGTGTGTGTGTGTGTGTGTGTGTGTGTGGTATCAACAGGTGTGAGCTGCTCTTGAACAGCAGCTGTCACACTGATAACTAATGAGGGGTGGATGTGTTTGGACCACATGAGCTGATCTGGGTGGGCCTGTCAGGGTCTCACTCCTTTCTGACAAAGGCCTGCCCAGTCAGATAATGTTTCTTTTCTAATTTCTATACAGACTCTTAGCTAATAAATATCAAGTAAATAAAAGGTAAAAACATCCTTTCAACTCTCACACTATAAATTCATTCAAAAATTAAAGTTTCCTGTTTCTGTAACAAGAAGCTTTGTAAATGTTCAGTAACAAAAGTGAGAAATATTTTCCTACAGTGCAGAACATTATAAAAACTGAACATGTGGAGGAAGTTGATTTCATAAAGAGTAAGGACGATGTAGCTCTTATTTTTACAGGCGAGGCAGCCATCTTCAGTTTTCACATTTGTGTTGGTCAGGAATGTTTCTCTGTTTGAATGACTCTCAGTGGTTCCATGGAAGGAAGAAGAAGATAAAGATTAAAGATGAATGGATTTCAGTACAGGTTCACAACCTGAGGCTTGTTGTCAGACTTTTAGGGACGAATGAATTATTGTGAATGAAAAGCAGGCTAGACAGTGATGGTTTCACCAGCTGTGTTTCCATTCACCATGAAAATGTAAATTAGAATTTTGAAAATAAATTTGCTCAACGGAAACACGTCAATTTTGAAAAAAATATATGTTTTTTGACAAAATGTTTTTGCTCTAGGATGAGGTGGTTTTTCAGCNATGACTTATCATGACAACAAACGTATTCACGTGACTTTAATAACATTTCTTACTTAATGGAAACACTGCAGTTATGAAACTGTGTTTTTCAACACTAGGATATCAACAAAGTTTTGTGAACATTTGTAATGGAAACACAGCTCCTATCTAGAAGAGACAAATCGCCTGCAGTTAGTTTTCTACAAATATTCTCCCAAATGAAGGGCAAACAGAGGCAGCTGAAAGGAGGGCAGCTCTTCTTGTTTGTATCAAACTCCTGTCTGAGCGACAGCCTCCTGCAGCCAGGATCGGACCGTGACTCTTCTCTGCAGACATGAGCTGTGAAACATGTAAACACAGAAACCTAAAGAGTCCAGCTTTATCAGTCTGACACGCTGATGGCTGAATGTGTAAAGAACCAGGATGACCCTCACCCTCTGCTGCATTTGTGACAGACACCACAGATTACCAGCTTGTCTTTTCCTACATGACGTTACCTAACAGGGAGCCTGGAAGAGAGGTTTTATTTTGTCGACCAAGCACTTATGTAACAGTGTTTTCACTCTAATCCTGTGCTATAAAAATCACCAAACAATTGATGGTCAGTTCCTGTGAGTGACACCTGTGACCAGAAAAATGATAAAAGCCTGACATGAAGTCCAGGTTTAGATTTTCATTTTTCATCCAAACAAAACTGGAAACAGTTGCATTTACTGTGTGTACTTAATGTGTTGTGACTTTTTCATGTGAGGGACTCATTAGATCTGACAAAAACAAGACGTTTGTTACCTGCAACTCTTTAATTGTCTTAGGCGACGTCCACACTGCAGGCCGGTGTGGACCAGAGGGGATGTTTCCATGGCAGTCAGAATGGGACAAACCATTTACTCAAATCAGACTCGGGTCTTTCTCCTGTGTCAGGGCTCTGCAACCTGCGGCTCTGGGGCCACATTTGGCTCCTTGAAAATGTGACCAAACGTTAAAAAAATGAATTGTTTGTTTGTTTTTTATTCTCACAACAGAACTCAATTTATATGCCAAAACGTGATCAATACTATTGATACAGAAAGTAAAACATGTTAGCTCATGCTAGCCTGTTGCTTACTTAAATAATCCAACTTCTTTCTCTTGAATCCATTAGAATTACCTTTAAAGAATTTGAAGACGACGTAGTAAGAATTAGAAAAAAATACCTAAAATAGTTCAGTTGTACTAGTTTTTATGAAATTCAGGGTAAACTACTGTATATACAGTTTTTTTTACCTGAATATGATCTTTTCATTTGTCCTGATGTGTAAAAATAAATAATAAAATTCACAATATATTTTTTAGTTTTATAACGTCCATGGCCATAAATGTGCCCAAAAAGGCCTTGAAAAGGCCCACGAGCCACCAGTTGATAATCACAGTTGTAGTTTGTTTTGCAGCTGGTTACATTTTATTAGTGAGCCGAGGAGCAGAAATGGCTCTGTTGATTATAAAGGTTTCAGACCCCTGTCCTGTGTGCTACCTCATCAGATACATAACTGATGATGCTTGTCTCTCATTTTACCTGGCTTGCTCTCGAGCAAGGCATCTATTCCCAAACTGCTCCCCGGGCACCTAAACAACTCCCACGGCTTACTTGGGTGTAACAAGTGTGAAATTCCATTTTAAATGGTGCTACATTTGTAAGGAACATGCATTTGTGTGCTGAGCAGTAGAGCTGAGTCTGTGGGTTGTTCTCTTGTTCTTATTGACACTGGTTTGGAGCTCTGGTACCATCTGGTGCTGCCAGTCTGGTGCTGCCAGTCTGGTGCTGCCAGTCTGGTGCTGCCAGTCTGGTGCCCGCTGTAACATTTATTACCAAGAAGTATTGTTACAACAGATCTACCTAACACTAATTTCCTTGTGTTTTGTGTTAAGTGTGATATGATACTATAAAGGTGTGGCTGAGAGTCTGAGTGTTCAGGGGTCTGAAGTGTGAACAACACAGTAAAAGTCCTGAATGGTTGTTGGAAGCTCACTGTTAAGACTGAGTGTTTGAGCTCTGAATAATTGCCGAACACAGAAGCAAGTTTAACAGGTTTATTGTTAAATTGAGTGATTGGAGGTAGGAAGCTGGAACCCAGGAGCAGCAGGTCTGGATACAGAGAACAGGGGTTAAGTCGGTTCAGGTAAATTATATTATACAAGTAAATAATATAACTTACCGTCCCCTCTTGGATGGACTGATTCCGTGTGGAAAACAACCACTGAGTCTTGGTTATGTGTCTGGCGGTGTTGACACAGGGCTTGCTGCTGCTGCGAGGATTAATCGTGGTCCAAGACAAGGCTGGGGTCAAACACGGGTGGTCAGAGGCWGTTACCAGGTTAATAGGGGCAGACTGAGTCGAGGATCCAGGGATGGGTTCCGAGGTCGAGTTCCAGGAAGTCCGAGATGGCGAGGTTCCGTTCAGGGGCGAGACGTGAGGCGAAAATCCAACAAACAGAACCAGTGTTGTTACCAGGTGAGCAGATGACAGGCAGGATCCGACAGGGGCTGAGGCAGGAGACGTGGGTCCAAGAGACATGAGCAGGGTCGGGGACACAAGGCAAGAGAGGAACAAGGAACAAGATAGCTGGAAGATCATAGACAAGGCTAGTGATAATCTGGCAAGGGACTGGAGGCTGGAGCTGAGATATATACTGGGGAAAACAGGTGGAAGTGATGAACTTGATTAGATGAAACAGAGACGGGAGGGGCAGAGGCAATGAGCAGGAACAGGACAAAGTAAACAAGACTGGGACAGACTGGAACAGGATCAAGATAGACTAGGACTGAGATAAGATAAAGGCAGACAGGAGCAGGATCATAACACTCACGCTCAGATCCACTTATTCCCTGGATCCTCTTCTGCTCACTGACAAAGTGTTGCTGCTATTAAACTTTTGGTATTTGAGTGTTTTATTCAGTTTTTTCCGATATTTTTTCTGACTGCGGTTCTAAAGGCGGGGCCACTGGGGCACTGGCCCCAGCTGAAATCTGATTGGCCCCCTGAAGTGCCCCTGTCCTGTCACTCATCTGTTCTTTACCTGAGATCAATGATGGTGGCTGCAGTTCCAGGCCCAAACACCAGAGGCAGTAATGAGTCAAACAGTAAAGTCCAGCATGAATCATCTGACAGAGGTCTTCTTCTCTTCTTTAAAAGACTTGAACAATTTTGCACAAAATATCTTTCAACTGGGAAACAATGGTTTCATTTTCTCACATGCTTTGACGATATTTTTCCATGTTCACTCAACATGCGTGTAACAATGATGAGGAGAATTTAAGCTTTTTAAATATCATTTCATTACGTTACAATTGTTTGAGCATATGTAACCGGTTAAATTCATTAATTTATTTATTGTTTGAATTTATACTTGAGGAAAAAGAGGCAGATGTTATAAGATTTTTTTCTTCTCTGCCACCTTTCATTTCATTTTATTTGTATTTTCTTTTTTATTGTACATAGAATTACTTTCATTTTTTTAAAGAAATGAATAAAGATTGAAATAAAATAAATAAATAAAAATGTATACACCTTACCAAAACCAAGGATTTCTGTACATGGATGTTGAACAAAGACTTGGCCCCTCTATAAATATTGTGGCCCCTTGATGGCCCCTGACTCAGAAAAATCCTACATCCGCCCCTGCTAAGAGGTAAACACCATGCTGCTGTAAAGTGGTATCAGCACTGTGGTATCGTAAAGATTTAAATACAAGTACATGCACTGTGTTGGACCAATAATATTGTTATACCTTATTGATACAGCATTAAGATTTTGAGCAACACCTTGGTTAAATCTGTAATCTGTAGATCAATGATATCTTTTGTCACAAATAATTGCTGTTAATGGGAAATCTGCAGTGGTGGGCAGCACTAATCTAAAAATTAGTTCCACTAGCCCAAAAACACTAACTCAAATATTTAGGTCCCCTAATTCTAAAGCACTAATGCACTGAAATGTGTTTTTAGCAAAAGCTAATTGTAAAGCAGTAAAATAAGCCAGTCAGCCCATGAACATTGTTCAGCAGACATGAGTCACATGTTGTCATGTTGCTCTTCAGACTTATCAGATGTTCCACAGCTGGATTTGTTCATATATTGTTAATATATTATCACTTGGTGAATAAGTGACTCATTTGAACACAAAGTGTGACAGCTTTCACCATCAGCTGTTAACATTGATAAATAACATTTAAACACCTCAGTTAGTGCTTCTAAATTCAGCCTATAAATTTAGCAAGTTCTAATCCACTAAAAAATTTTAAAATTAGCAAAAGCCCTAAAGCTCTAATCAGGAAATTAATTCCCCTATTAGTGGTTTAGTGTGAGGATGTGTGTTATTTGTCAGTCTGTGTTATCTCCCTCTTGTGTTCCCTCATTGTTATCACACATTCCCCTCAATCTGGTTCCTGCTGTTTAATCATCCTCACCTGTTGTCATCTCCAATCAGTCCTGCTCCCAGGTGTTCCTCATTCCTCTGTCTGTATAAATACCTTTCTCTTCAGTTCATTCCTCGCTGGATCATTACATGGATTACTCCTACTGTTTTGTTGTCMTYGWTGTCCCTCAGAGTTTTAGTTTTATTTTAGCTGCCCTGACAGCTCTTTGTTTTGTTTAAATAAATCTTTTATTTAAATCTCATCCTCCGTCCGGATTTGGGTTCATTCTGCACCTCAACCTAACAGTTTAGTGCTTTAGGGGAACTGTGGCCACCACTGGAAATCAGTGTTGCTTGTCTGACTCCACCTACATAAAACCCCCACATAAACACACCTGAGAGAGTATACCTTTGATGGTTGTTGGACTAACACTTGCTCAACCTTCATGGTCTCACAGACCTCACATCTTTTTACTCCTTCTCTAGCTCATGATTAGTCTGGTTAAAACCAGACCCTGTCCTTCACTTTGCTTCGTACAAGGGCCAGGGGTCTCATTTATAAAGGATTGCGTGGAAACCATACTAAAAGTGAACGTACGGCCAAAAGGCGGAAATGACGTACGCCAAAAAATATTCAGATTTATAAAACGGTACGTACGCACGTTTCTGTACATCTTTCATTTATAAATCACAGCTGCACGTCAGAGTTTGTGCACATGGTCCCGCCTCAGGTTCTACCCTCTACACGCC